ATCCAAAACTCTAAATTTCGAGTTATCTTTCTCAAAATTTTGACTTATTAATTTGAAATTTTGAGAAAAGTAGCTTGAAATGTTGACTTTTTTCAAAAGTTTGAGTTAATAATCAGTAATCTACATGAATGACGTAATTTCCTTGTTACCCGGAAGCGGAAGCCCTCAGCTACAAATGCTACAGTTAAGCTACCAGTATAACAGCCAGTCATGAATGCACAAATTGCTGATTATTTTCAGCGTAGCGTCACAAATGATGAAATGCTTGTGTTATGAGCTGAATCACATGGTGTTACTATCAGCAAACGTACTCTTGAAAGCGCCAGTTTGTTGCGATCCGGTTTTGAGTGTGCAGTCCACGTAGATTACTGATGGCAGAGATAACTCAAAATATCGAGTTACTTTTCTTAAAATTTCAAGTTAATAAGTCAAAATTTCAAGAAAATAAGTTGAAATTTTGAGTTAATAAGTCGATATTTCGAGTTATGGATACTTTTTTTTTTAGTGGCGGAAACGGGCTTCCATAGAGGAGAATGCCCAGAGGCAACAGTAACTCAGTTAACTACTCATTATAGTCAAGGTATGCAGAAGAGCACCTCTGAGCACACAACATGCCTGGTCCACTGAATCCTGGTTTCTGCTGTGACATTCAGATGGTAGGATCAGAATTTGGCATAAACAGCATGGAAGCACAGGTCCACCCTACCTCATATCACTGGTTCAAGCTGCTCTTGTTTGTGATGTGGGTGATATTTTCTTGACATACTTTGGACCCCTTAGTATCAAATGAGCATCATTTAAATGCTGCAGCTTACCTGAGTGTAGTTGCTGACTGAAATACCCTGAAATAATGACTTTTCAATTTCCAAACATTAAGTTTTAATGTTTCTAGTGGCTGAAAAGCTCAACAAATGCAACACTGTGACCTGTGAGTCTGCCTGAGTGCACACCAAAACACGAAAAACACTTTTTTGGGGAGGAGTGTTGTCATGCGAGCAAAGAGATGATAGGAAATGAGGATGCTGGGAAAGCACTCTTAACAGAAGCAGGCACCTTGCAGTTTGTAAACAAGCAATAATGGCCAAAAGACAGCCATGCTAATAAACATGTTATAGAAATTATCACCTGCAACTTTGCCACATTAGAAACAATGGATATCAAGTGTAGGAAAAGCAGCTTTAATTTTAACTCTAATAGTTGTAGATGAACTCTTGGTGTGCACTGACCCTTTGCAGTTTTAAAGCAGCTCGTGCACGCTGCAACTCCTGAGTTAAATATGCTTATTAGGAATGTTTTTAATTGGCTAAACCTTGAACTCGTGTTCGGTTAAGTTAGCAGAAAATAGTGGCTGAGAAATCAGTGAGTCGGATGTGCAGCATGAATTAAAGCTTTAGCATTTGAAGATTTTGTAAGATTAAAAGAAGAAGAAGTTACAAATCCAGCTGTGTAAGAAACACTGTAAGCGACCCGTGGAAATGTCTGGCTAATGCTTCAATCCACACGCCGGGACGGTATCAGCCTGGTTTCCCGCGTGGAAGCTCTGGTAAGGTTTCGCCCTCACAGACAGGCCTGACCTTCTTAACACATCACCAGGTGATGATGGGAGGACAGACAGAAGCCTTGCTGCGCCAAAACACAGAAGCCCGCACAGCCTCTCTGCTCACGGTCCGATCCGGTCTTCTGACGTTGTTTTCCCCTCCCCCTTCTCGCCTCTCCTCCCTCTCTACCTGACAGTGCTGGCACTGTGAAAAGTTCAGAGCTGTCAGGGGGAATGTCAGACGACTGCGTAGAGCTATCTGCTGAACACACACATTAACAACACCCCCCCTCCCAAACACACACACACACACACACACACACACACACACACACACACGAGAGTCATTTTATTACTCCGTCTCTCGTATCTTGAAGTAGACAGATGTATGAACTGTGGACGCTATCACCTGCACGCTTAATTATTATAAACCATTTTTAAAAATAGCTTTCCAACACTCTTATATCTAAAAAATCTGTGTCAGAACAAGATCTTGTTTTCATCACAGATAAAAAAAAATGTATTACTTGTTTAATTTGCTAATATAAAAAACTTATGTGTTTAAATATTATTTTTAACGTCCCAGACAACAAGACTGGTAGTGGTTAATGTATTTCTCTCATACATGAAAGCTCCCCAGTTGAATTGTATGAGTGGACACAAACCCCGCCACAGAGTCCTAGAGCTGGTCTCAACCCTTAGATCTTGTAAAGGAAATTTGTAAAAATCTGTCCTGGAGTCACCTTAGAATAAGTGGGCAAGTGAAACTGCAAACCCCACCCTCCCTAAAGAGTGTACATATGAAAAGTGGAGTAGTAAGCATACAACAAGTGGAGCTCAGTGAGAAAAAAAACTAGATTCTGTCCTGGGCCACTGTGCCGCTCCCTGACCTGTCCTTTAAAACTATGACCTACAAGCCAATAAAATGGGGTTCCAAAGTGATTAACCTGTATTTGGCTGACTTCCAGGTATTTCTTGGAAGGAGTCTACGACTTGCGATTAAAAAAATTGAAACTTTTATGTTAGCCTGCAATTAAATAGGTGGTGATGGCTTTATATTGGTAGATAGTGGTTAGGTCTACTGAGAGCACGAAGGAAACCAAATATGTGAAAGCCTATGTCAAAACAGCGCCTTTCCCACTGCATAGTAGGAGCAATTGCCCTGGCCTATATTAGCAGGGGTCTTCACATTTACTCAGTTTTATGGGCAAGATGTAACAGGACCAAACCTGGCACATTCTCCCCTGTGAAGTGCTATTGGGGACAGTTGTCTTCTTAACAGTCATGTCTAGAGATGGACCGATCCGATATTACGTATCGGTATCGGTCCGATACTGACCTAAATTACTGGATCGGATATCGGAGAAAAATAAAAAATGTAATCCGATCCATTAAATATCACGAAAGCACCTCACAAAACTTGCAACACGCCGTAACTCACCTCAGAACGTTAGCACGTCGGAGCAGTATGCATCACCTGATAGAGCGGCTGTGGCATGCAGGACCTGTCGGTGGTCTGGATAGCATGTGGAGCTTCGCTAGCAACCCGGCATTTCATCTCCGACAAAGTTATCCCCGAGAGAAGTAAAGCAAGTGTGTAAGTCCATCTCTGAATGTTTGTAAAGCATTCCTGCGTTAAGCTTAACAAGCGACTGCCTCTCCTGCTGCTACTTCAATCATGAAACTGCTTAATGATCAGCTGATCGGCTTTTCTGTCGCGAGTCCGTCTCTCTTGTTTGTTTTTGGCCCACTTTGCACCAGAAAGAGGAAACCAGCGGCTGAACAACAGCAGCACGTTTAAGCTTGATAAGCTGTTGTTAGAATGTATTTAATATTACTTTCTACTCGAGGATCTTTTTCTACGTAGCTGACGCTGGTAACTGTGCAGGGGCGGATCTAGCAAAGTTTAGCCAGGGGGGCCGATAGGTGGTGAAGAGGGAGCTGAGTGTAAAAGCGAAGCTCTCAATTTACCGGTCGATCTACGTCCCTACCCTCACCTATGGCCACGAGCTGTGGGTAGTGACCGAAAGAACGAGATCGCGGATACAAGCGGCAGAAATGAGCTTCCTCCGAAGGGTGGCTGGCCTCTCCCTTAGAGATAGGGTGAGAAGTTCGGCCATCCGGGAGGGGCTCAGAGTAGAGCAGCTGCTGCTCCACATCGAAAGGAGCCAGCTGAGGTGGTTCGGGCATCTGACAAGGATGCCCCCTGGGCGCCTCCTGGGTGAGGTGTTCCAGGCATGTCCCACCGGGAGGAGGCCCCGGGGCAGACCCAGGACATGCTGGAGAGATTATATCTCTCGGCTGGCCTGGGAACGCCTTGGTATTCCCCCGGATAAGCTGGAGGAGGTGGCTGGGGAGAGGGAGGTCTGGGCCTCTTTGCTTAGGCTGCTGCCCCCGCGACCCGGCCCCGGACAAAGCGGATGAAAATGGATGGATGGAATAGAAGTCAATTACTGTATATAGTGACTATTAAGTCTAATATATATACCCTAGTAAGCTATAGTACTTTTTTCCTTTGGGAAGGTACCATCTGTGCAGTCTGCAATTTTGTTGAAGAAAGATGTTGAATCTATTTAATATTTCTTGAAAAATAATTGATTTCTGTGCATTTTTTTTTCACACTGCATCAAATTAAGGTTGATTACGTCGATTAAGCATCATGAGGTGGAGCGTGAGGGGTGGTTCCCTATTTTTTATTTATTTATTTTTGTTGTTGCTGGGAGTTGGAACCCTATTAGTTAGGTTGCTTAATATTTACGCTAAGTACTCTTTAAAATACCAGAATAGGGAGGATGGTGTAGGTTTAAGTTTATTAGATTGATCAGTATTGCTGAACTATGAAATATTTTTTTTTGCATACAGGTATAACAGAATAGCTTTAGTGTAGTTGTTGTTTTAAACTTGAGTATGAACTTATACAAAATGCAGCAAGATATTTAAAAAAACAGTTTTGTTGATTAAAAAACACTATATCGGATTCATATCGGTATCGGCAGATATCCAAATTTATGATATCGGTATCGGTATCGGACATAAAAAAGTGGTATCGTGCCATCTCTAGTCATGTCTGGCAATCTGGGAGTTAATATTTCTAAGCACAAAATACTAACTAAATCGCTATTTCTCTCATAGTGAAACAAAATGAATGCTATGAAAGAGAGCTTCAGGTTATGTTTTTATCCCTGGTTCTCTGAGTAGCATGAGCGAGTGTCTCACCGAACCAACCTCTTTGCTAGGGAAGTGAGGAAGAGGTGGGCTTTTTTGAATTACATCTGACGCTATGTCAGCCTATTATATAGGAAGGCCTATATAACATGGGCATCATTTAGCTAACAGTAAAGGCTGTTGATCCAAATCGTGGCAAGCTGTGGCGAGTTGATCTGAGTAGGTTCTAATGGAAAAGGGGCTTATGTGTCCACCTAAAGGAGGACGGGGGGGTATGTACAGGACAAAAACATTTACTAGGCCCCAGCGAGATTTGAACTCGCGACCCCTGGTTTACAAGACCAGTGTGCTCTAACCACTGAGCTATAGGGCCTTTGCTGAAGTAACACCCATGGATACACTACATATAGACAATCAGACCATTGCACAAGCATGGGTGTGAACTGAACTTGATCAACCAGTTAAAGGAGTGCTCTTACAAGGGTGTTTTGTAAAATGCACCTTGGCAGCAGTGGCCCTGCTCATGGAAAAGGCTTTCGGTTAGTCACATATTCGACGACAGGCTGGTGGCAGCCCCCAACTACCAGGGGGTGGCTTGTCAGTGAAATGCTCTTATACACCACCCGGGGAATTTGGGCTTTCAGATAAACGTGGAAGAGAGTAGTCTAAGGAGCTTGGAAAGAAAAGCATCTGGACTTCTTTAAGTTGCTTGAAGATGTTTCACCTCTCATCCAAATGGTGGAGAGTCCCAGATTTAAACCCAGTGGGTCCCCCAAAGAGGGACAAAGGACCCCCTGATGATCCTCTACCTAGTAAAAGAGAGTACATTGAGACCATCTACATTTAGGGCTCAGGTCTAGACTTCTCCGGGTGAGAGCATTTCTATCTTAAGGCCATACAGCCATCCCTAGCACAGTTTCACAGAGGCAACACAAGTTAGCCTCAAACAGTGCAAGAGGCTGCTAGGCCTGATAGCTTAGCAGCTGTAGCTTCCTCTGTAGTGACGATGCCACTGGACATGAGACTTCACAGGTGGGAGCTTCTTCCCTGTGATGTACTACTGGGGACAGTTGTCTTCTTAACAGGCATGTCTGGCAATCCGGGAATTAGTATTTGTCCCCCTAGTGTGACACAAAATGCAAAACATAACCCCGGTTCTAAAGTAGTACTCGTCAGGCTAGGACTCCGCAGTCTATTTACACCTACAGACCAGTGGACACTCTTTCAATGATGAAGATGTACACATCCTGGACAGGTAGGAATGCTGGTTTGAACGGAGAGTCAAGGAGGCCACTTACTAGGGGTGCAACGATACACAAAATTCACGGTTCGGTTCGATACTTTGGTGTCACGGTTCGATATTTTTTCGATACAAAAAAAAAAGTTCATGCCTTTTTAACTTGTCATTTATTAAATTTTCACGGCACATTCCGCACCACATCTCTGTGCGTTCATCATTTGTTTGAAGCCAGCTCACCTCCTGCAACTACTTTTCCGAGAATACGTGCTTCTTTTGTGGTTCGGACTCCTTTTGACATTTCTTTGGAGGTGGAGGAACATCACAGTAATTGCTTAAAGGAGCTTCTTCGACATCTTTAAGAGTTCTAAACAAATGTCTGTCCTCCTCCTGAAAATCTTATGTACGCAAACACGCGTTGCAACTTCTTATCTTGTGCGCGTTTTTTATTTTGACAGCGAATGCGCACCTGCAGACCACTTATGTGCAGCCCTGGTTATTTAGCTTGTCATATTGCAGCCACAGAAATTCTTTGTCCATGAAACCATAAAGCTGCACTTTCTTTTTGCCTTATAGTCTGATTTGTCATAACTTTTCCGTTTTGTGGTGAGCTTTTCTTTGGCTGTCACTTTGTTGTGTCCTCACCCGTTGCCTACCGGTGGTGGTCAGAGGGCCCGGTGGCGCCAATGTCCGGCTGCCTCGCCTCTGTCAGTGCGACAGTGCCCGACGGGCAGGGCAGAGATAGATTTTGGTAGCCCGACTGGAAAAATCGCTAGCCCCGGGACGTCGGGCTAGCGATTTTGCGAGCCCTGTATCTGATTGAGGAATCACTCATCTTTGGAAAAGAGTGTTTATTACAGAGAAATGGCTCTTTCCAAAATAAAAGCTATACTATACGCTTCTTCTGGGCTATAGTCTCAGCAGCATATTAAACATATCAGGTCCCCATAAGGAGAATCCTGTGCTAACGGCTGTCCAAATGACTCGGTTAAAGTTTGTAGCATGCGTGCTTGTTGTTTTTGTCTGCTTCCACTTGTCTTTGCACTAGGATGATGTCGGCGTAAATGTGCAGTCATATTCGTTGTGTTCCCACTAGTGCTGTCAGTGTAAAAAATCTCGTTGAAATGACGTTAACGCCACAACACGGCAAATCTCCGTTAACGAGCTACCGCAGATCGCCCGTGCGTGGGGCTGGACAGCCAACACGTTAACGAGCTAACTGCCTAACTGCGCTAACACACTAGCTCCCACCCATGTAATTGAGCATTGCGTGGCACATCCAACATACTGTTTTACTTTAGTCCATGACGCGCTTACCTTCAGGGTCATACTTCACATGAAAACCAAAATAGTTCCAAACACCAGATCTGAATGAGGGTGGGGGAGGTTCAATTTGCCATGTTGCAAGGAGAGCTTAACTTCTGTCTCGCTAGCTTGCCCTGCGCTCAGTGAATCTGCATTCGACTCCTCCGCCTAGGCTGCACTGTCGAGCGCAGATCCACTGAGCGCTCAACACAGACAGCATCGTCAGAAGGAAAGTTGATAAAATAAATTAAAATTTTTGTATTGTTCGATACATATGCGTACCGAACCGAAAGCACTGTATCGAACGGTTCAATATCGATACGAGTATCGTTGCACCCCTACCATTTACGTGAAAAGGGAAAGACCATCTCTGAATCAAGGAGGGGACCTAATGGTACGTCTTTTGCCATCTTAAAATGCTGTGATTGCAGCCATTCCCCAACTCTCTGTGAATGGTACTCATGGCCATTGATCTGTGGTCTTTGATCAACGAATTGGCTTTGAACTGGTTGTTGATCAATGGGCATGACAATTTGCATATTATTGCGGATGAAAATGGATGGATGGAATAGAAGTCAATTACTGTATATAGTGACTATTAAGTCTAATATATATACCCTAGTAAGCTATAGTACTTTTTTCCTTTGAGAAGGTACCATCTGTGCAGTCTGCAATTTTGTTGAAGAAAGATGTTGAATCTATTTAATATTTCTTGAAAAATAATTGATTTCTGTGCATTTTTTTTTCACACTGCATCAAATTAAGGTTGATTACGTCGATTAAGCATCATGAGGTGGAGCGTGAGGGGTGGTTCCCTATTTTTTATTTATTTATTTTTGTTGTTGCTGGGAGTTGGAACCCTATTAGTTAGGTTGCTTAATATTTACGCTAAGTACTCTTTAAAATACCAGAATAGGGAGGATGGTGTAGGTTTAAGTTTATTAGATTGATCAGTATTGCTGAACTATGAAATATTTTTTTTTACATACAGGTATAACAGAATAGCTTTAGTGTTGTTGTTTTTTAAACTTGAGTATGAACTTATACAAAATGCAGCAAGATATTTAAAAAAACAGTTTTGTTGATTAAAAAACACTATATCGGATTCATATCGGTATCGGCAGATATCCAAATTTATGATATCGGTATCGGTATCGGACATAAAAAAGTGGTATCGTGCCATCTCTAGTCATGTCTGGCAATCTGGGAGTTAATATTTCTAAGCACAAAATACTAACTAAATCGCTATTTCTCTCATAGTGAAACACAAAATGAATGCTATGAAAGAGAGCTTCAGGTTATGTTTTTATCCCTGGTTCTCTGAGTAGCATGAGCGAGTGTCTCACCGAACCAACCTCTTTGCTAGGGAAGTGAGGAAGAGGTGGGCTTTTTTGAATTACATCTGACGCTATGTCAGCCTATTATATAGGAAGGCCTATATAACATGGGCATCATTTAGCTAACAGTAAAGGCTGTTGATCCAAATCGTGGCAAGCTGTGGCGAGTTGATCTGAGTAGGTTCTAATGGAAAAGGGGCTTATGTGTCCACCTAAAGGAGGACGGGGGGGTATGTACAGGACAAAAACATTTACTAGGCCCCAGCGAGATTTGAACTCGCGACCCCTGGTTTACAAGACCAGTGCTCTAACCACTGAGCTATAGGGCCTTTGCTGAAGTAACACCCATGGATACACTACATATAGACAATCAGACCATTGCACAAGCATGGGTGTGAACTGAACTTGATCAACCAGTTAAAGGAGTGCTCTTACAAGGGTGTTTTGTAAAATGCACCTTGGCAGCAGTGGCCCTGCTCATGGAAAAGGCTTTCGGTTAGTCACATATTCGACGACAGGCTGGTGGCAGCCCCCAACTACCAGGGGGTGGCTTGTCACTCAAATGCTTTTATACACCACCCGGGGAATTTGGGCTTTCAGATAAACGTGGAAGAGAGTAGTCTAAGGAGCTTGGAAAGAAAAGCATCTGGACTTCTTTAAGTTGCTTGAAGATGTTTCACCTCTCATCCAAATGGTGGAGAGTCCCAGATTTAAACCCAGTGGGTCCCCCAAAGAGGGACAAAGGACCCCCTGATGATCCTCTACCTAGTAAAAGAGAGTACATTGAGACCATCTACATTTAGGGCTCAGGTCTAGACTTCTCCGGGTGAGAGCATTTCTATCTTAAGGCCATACAGCCATCCCTAGCACAGTTTCACAGAGGCAACACAAGTTAGCCTCAAACAGTGCAAGAGGCTGCTAGGCCTGATAGCTTAGCAGCTGTAGCTTCCTCTGTAGTGACGATGCCACTGGACATGAGACTTCACAGGTGGGAGCTTCTTCCCTGTGATGTACTACTGGGGACAGTTGTCTTCTTAACAGGCATGTCTGGCAATCCGGGAATTAGTATTTGTCCCCCTAGTGTGACACAAAATGCAAAACATAACCCCGGTTCTAAAGTAGTACTCGTCAGGCTAGGACTCCGCAGTCTATTTACACCTACAGACCAGTGGACACTCTTTCAATGATGAGGATGTACACATCCTGGACAGGTAGGAATGCTGGTTTGAACGGAGAGTCAAGGAGGCCACTTACTAGGGGTGCAACGATACACAAAATTCACGGTTCGGTTCGATACTTTGGTGTCACGGTTCGATATTTTTTCGATACAAAAAAAAAAGTTCATGCCTTTTTAACTTGTCATTTATTAAATTTTCACGGCACATTCCGCACCACATCTCTGTGCGTTCATCATTTGTTTGAAGCCAGCTCACCTCCTGCAACTACTTTTCCGAGAATACGTGCTTCTTTTGTGGTTCGGACTCCTTTTGACAT